TCAATTTAGGGCCCAAGTATGCTATCCATCAAAGACGTGGAAGATATAAATGTCAATTTAGGAACTGAATGATTGAAACTGTCAATTAAGACTTAAATATGTTCAATTTTGAATGGTTTTATTTCTAATTCTTTTCATGTCAATTTTCTATAAAAGTTCATTGACAGGTCATATCAAATTTAAAAATAGTTTATTAAGAAGTATTTTAAAAAATCAAATTCACGGTTTTTTGAAAGTCTTGGATTGAATTTTTAGTGCTTTTTTATTTTTAGTTCCTTGTATGGCACCTTATTTAAAATTCTTTCATGGATCCTATACTATATTCAATAAAGAGTTTATTGAAATTCATTAGAAAATAAAAGAATCAAAATTGACGATTCTTTAAATTTCTTGGATTTGATAGTTTCATTAATTCAAGTCCTAAATTGATAACTTTAGGTGTGAACCACTAAAACTCTTTTTTTGTTTGTTACAAATACTGCAACTCTAAGCATCATGCATTGTAGTATGCAAGTATGCATCTTAACTTTTGTCTGGTCAATGTCTGAACAGTCTCAAGCCAAGAAGCTTAAAGCAGAGAACCTTTTATCAAAAATTGTAGCATCGTGGGTTCCTGTTGGTCCCTCTGATGACCAGGAAACAATCACAGAAGAGGAAAGGGCCATGTATCGTCAGGTTGGATTGAAGATGAAGGCATTCTTGCCACTTGGTTAGCTATTTTAATTGATATTTCATTTTGTTCAATTTCTTCTCAACTACCTCTTTAGTACTGCATTGATCAATATGATCCCAAACAAGAGCCTTTTGGGAATAAGGCTTGGATGTTGTTGTACAAATGTCATAGATCATGAATTCATGATTCATGAGTCTTATCTTTTTAAATTTTATCTGCCTGGTTTCAGAAAAGTTATCATATGTAACTTGTATAAGACTTTTTTTATATCAATTTTGTGGCACATTATATGAAAGAGCTTTGTTTGATTAGTTTTGGCTCTCTTTTTTGGACAAGTGTTTGAAATGACAATGTTCTGCTTAATCTTCTCATCTTTCAGGCATTCGCGGAGTTTTTGATGGTGTTGTTGAGAACATGCATCTTCATTGGAAGCACAGAGAACTTGTAAAGTTAATTTCTAAAGAAAAGGAGCTCGCTTTTGTAGAGGAAACAGCTAGACTTTTAGAATATGAAAGTGGTGGTATTCTGGTTGCAATTGACAGAGTACCCAAAGGGCATTCTGTAATTTTCTACCGTGGGAAAAATTACAGACGTCCCATTAGCCTCAGGCCAAAGAACCTTCTGACTAAGGCAAAGGCACTGAAGCGCCGTGTGGCTTTGCAACAATATGAGGTAGTTTCATCCTACACTTGCAACTTTCTTTTTAAGGAGTATGTTACTCTCTCCTTGTCAAAATAACTGATAAAAAATTGTTCCAAAATACTTCTCACTTTTCATTTTTAAGAGGAAGTGTTTCCCCAACTTTTCCCTTCTCGCCGTGTGGCTTTGCAACAATATGAGGTAGTTTCATCCTACACTTACAACTTGTTTTTAAAGGAGTATGTTACTCTCTCCTTGTCAAAATAACTGATAAAAAATTGTTTCAAAATACTTCTCACTTTTCATTTTGAAGAGGTAGTTGTATATCTCAATTATTTTTTGTTGAAATTTGAAAGGGTAACGGACGATTGCGATCATTTTATACACATAATTTACCTGTTGAATGAGTTTTGCAATATGCTTGATACTACTTTGAAAGACAAATATTTTGAAACAGAGGAAGCACTATATTATATAACTTGCTTTTTCTGATATATGCGCTTTGTTCTGTAGGGTCTGAGTCAGCATATTGCTGAACTGGAGAATACCATAGAGCAAACGAAAAGAGATATAGTAAGCCACAGTTTCCTGTACTGTTATTATTAACTGAGTTTGATCCTTTCAATCTGCTATTACTATCTGTTTGTGTTGTAGCCATTTTCTCTCTATGCCAATACTTCCTCCTCCATTCCTAATTAACATAGGAGTAAAGCAGGTTTTCTCACTTCTTATACTCTGTGTGACTATCCTAAACATGTCGGGGGTCATTGCTCACCTTATTCAGTTATTCTTATCCAATTATTATGTTGGCATAGTTAGGCCATTATAACTGGGCTGCATGCCTGTATCTCAATTAGTTTAAACTTTGACGTTCTCTTTCCCTTTATAATCAGTACTTAAGCTGCAGTTGAGTCTTGCTGAAACCATTTTTTTGTGGTACAGATTGATGAAATAATTTGATCATTCACTATAGTATGCAATTTATACCAGTGCCATCATATACTTTACGTTTGATTCATTTTCCTCATTAACTGAGACTTAACGTTTTATATTTGGATATTGTATAGGGGGTTACTCAAGATGTAAAAGGATTCAACTCAAATTTGGAGGACGGTTGCCAGTTCAATCGTTTTTCTGAGTTAACACAGGTGGGTTTCTTCAACCTGAATATCTGCTAAGTCCCAAAGTACTAGTTTCATTTTCCTCATTAACTGAGACTTAACGTTTTATATTTGGATACCGTATAGGGGGTTACTCAAGATGTAAAAGGATTCAACTCAAACTTGGAGGACGGTTGCCAGTTAAATCGTTTTTCTGAGTTAACACAGGTGGGTTTCTTCAACCTGAATATCTGCTAAGTCCCAGAGTACTAGTATCACTGGCCACTGTCCCCGTATGGGATGGTTATAAATCACTTCTCCAAACAAACAATTTTCTCAAAAGCACCAAGTTGGCGCTTTAATAAAGTTCTTTTAACCCAAAAAAATAGCTTAAAACAATGATTTCCAATACAGAAAAGTTGTTTTTTCCAATAAAATTATGACTGTTTTGCTTTTGAAAAGTTTACAAAGTTATCTGCATCAAAAGTGTTCCCAAACAGGCTCAGCTTATTAGCTTGGAGTTATAACAAAATTTGCATGATCTTTATTTCTTGTATGATACATGTGCATATATGTTTAGAGTGGAATTGAAGCTTCATGGGAAGAGTCCGAAGGCGATGAAGATCCCGAGTGGGAGAATGAAGAAGATTCTGACTATTCAGATACAGAGTTTTCAGCTACTCAAAGTGAATAAAGAACACATTTCTCTATTGTCTTATCGAATTTCTATGGATCATGAAGACTTCCTTTTTCAGGTAATATGTAGCTTCTAGCCCCCCTTTGGTAAACTGGTAGCTTTTGGCAATGGCAGTGTGGTAGGTTACCCTTGTCCTCAATCTCTGATTCTTTTTTGTTTTGCTTCTTTTAATTATTTGCATTGCCATGTATACAATTAATTCCACCATGGACACTGATCTTTTGTTTGGATTAGGGAAGAAATAGAAAAGAGAGAAGGGGTGAGAAGGAGATGTGGAAGAGAGAAAGATTGTAGATATTGTGTCCTATTTGGTAGTAGATAGAAAATGGGTTGAAATTTGGAGTGCATTTCTCTCAAATGAGGGAGAAGAAATAAAATATGGGCAGAATGCATCATCTAAACTTCTCTCATTTCCATTTCCTTCCTAACTAAACAACACATAAAATTTACATTTCTCTCACCAACCAAACACAGGCTTGAACATAACCCGAACTCAACCAAACTGCAGGTAAATCTGTAAAAGCTTGATGTTCCACTGTTCCAGTGCACTACACACCTCATAGGATTACGAAAACTGCCTTTAGTTTGCGGTGATTTTTTTGTTGACATTTATTTATGATGATGCTATTATTATTATTATAAAAAGAATAATGATTATTATTATCAGAATTATTGTAATTGTTATTGTTATTATGCATGACTTAAGACACTTTTAAGGTGAATGGGCTTTCACATGTTGCCTCTGAAGGCTTCTCACTGGTGGTGGAGAGGGTGGTGTGTCTGGACGATTTTGTGGAACACAAAGAATCTCATGCTATTGCAAACTGGTTGAGCATACATGTATTACACCACACCCCCAATGCATAATTATTAGCCATGTGTGTTTATATCAGACAACTTTGTATATCAGTCTTAGCCCAGGCAAATCAATTAATATGGTCAGACATCTTATGCAAGTAATGCAACCAGTTGACAGCTGCAAAGATTGCTAACATCAGTCATTTGAAGCAGCGCATGTTTTGTGCTTTTGACACTCAAATATATAGTTTTGTAAAAGTATATTCTCAACTTAGCTTGCACTTGTTTTGTTTCCCCTTCCAAATATTTTTGCAACTTGTACCTATCCATCTGTACACTAACGATTAGGTTCCTTGGAGATGCAAACATGCATTCGCAATGTCTTCTATTGGAAACATGGCATAGTTGTATGGATGAATGTGATGAAACACCTTTTGTGACAGTCCCAGACTCCCAGCTAAGATAAATTTTATTTCAAAGGTAACAGAATATGATGAAAACTAATTCATGTATTTGCTGATGTTATGTATTGCAAATGTTTGATTATGCGAAAGATGGGCAGATATTTATTTGGAATTGGGGTGGAACCAGGTCGGGCAGTCCTGGTTCTAAATAATTGAAGCCCAGTTTGGTCCGGTACCGGTTCCAGTCCGGTCCAAACAATATTGTTTTTTTAAATTAAGTGTTTGGTCAGACGGCTCAGACCGGACCCAAAATTCAAGCCCGATGCCTGCCCCTATTCAACCATGGTTCAAGTACTGGGTTGGTACCGGTAGTCCGGTACCGAAAAACTGGCTCGGGCAGGTACCAAACAGTACCAGACTACCAGTCCCAGGTCGGTCCCGGGTCAGGCCGCCCTGACCCAATCCACCCCTATTTGGAAATTGGAACTGCAGGAAAAAGTTATCGAACAACTAATTTTTTAAAGATAAAAAGGAATCAACCGATTCCCTAAAATGCATTCAAACAATGTTTTTGGGACGTCTATTTTAAAACCAAAAGAAAAAACTTTTTGAAGACATAGGTTCTACTACTAAATTCATCACATGTTTTTAGAACGGCACATAGGCACATTGTATTTGGACACTGTAGGGAATGACTCATTGACCATCAAGGAATTATATAAACTCAAGAAATTGATAAATAGACACAGTATTTGGACAATGTAGGGTAGTCATGGACCCGGTCTGACCGGCCCGGGAACCAGCCTGGCCCGAGGGGGTAAGGGGGTAGGGGGGCGGTTCCGGTACACCAAAAAGACGAACGGGCCTGGCCCGGAACCGGTAGCCTCCCGGGCCGGTCCCGGGCCTTACCCAAAACCTTCCAGGCCCGGCCGGGCCTAGGCCCGAATCAGAACCGGGCCCGGTCCACCACTAATGTAGGGAATGACTATGACCATCAAAGAATTATATAAACTCAAGAAATTGAAAATACAAACAATAACGGAGAAACAAGAAGACAAAGTTCAGTCCTCACACTCATAATTAACATGCAATCCATGTGGAGAACATACATATTGAACTCATGGAACCTGATGTCAAAATACAAGATTCTGCCACAGAATTGCAACGTATGGTCTCAAAAGAAGTTGTTTTGTACTTGGCCAACTTTGCTCTCCTCTCACTTACGCAGCATCTGTTGCAACTGAAGAACTTGATTCCTCTGATCAGGAGGCAACAAATGTATCTGTTCAGGTGTGAGACTCATGACTTGCTGAAGAAGAGCATGTTCCATCTCTGGAGTCAACTGCATCATCATCAATATTTTACCAGTTTAGTGTATGTTTGACATGACATTCCACCCTTAGATTGTCGATGAAATATAGCAACTAAATGAAAAAAAAATTGTTAAAGGGATCCGACAAGGCCCGACCATGTAAATTTGAACTTTGGGTGTGTTTGCAAAATGGCGTTTCAGACTTTCAGCAAAAAAAAACAATTTGACCATTTTTAGCGTTTTCAATAAGTGAAAACGCTGATCCATGTTGTTCGGTAAACAGTTGTTCAGCCCTACCATTTTTAGACGGAACCACTGATATAGAACCGCCGCAAATAGTAGCGTTTTTTGTTCAACTTTTTGAAATAGGGCATTACCCACCAACCACTGCGGCCAAATAGCTAAATTACCAAACATCTTTTTGTAACCCGCCAATTCAATTCGCTGAAAAAATCTACTATCAACAATCCACTAACATAACCCGCTAACCGGTGATAGCCAAACACACCCTTTATCTGCTTCATTTCAATTCTATCATTACATATGTATCCCCTAACTTTTATTGGGTTCTAATCATGTATGTGGAAAATCTGATGACAATAACCTTAAGTTATCAATAGGTTAGTTAGTAGTTGATTCGCTTTAAATATTCCCAACTTTGAATTATTTAAAGATAGAAAAATGCTTGTATACAGACAATTATGTCTGCGTAGACAGACAAGTGTGCCAAAAGTATACACAAAAACGTGTACACCAAGCATGGTTCTTAAAAATAACCCCAATTATTGCGTCAAGTTTACTATAATACTCAAGTCAATGGTTACTTATTGTTCCAGTTCAAAGGACTATTGCATGTCAGATAGACTCTAGCTGAATCTCTAATTTGTAGGAAAATCGAAGGCTGACAAGTCACACATTCTTGTCGGACTCTTCTTTAAAAAAAGATGAAGGATGTTCTCAATGGTTCTACCCAAACTCATTTTATGTCACCTACCCAAACTTCAACAGCCAGCAATTACCAAAGGCTATTAACATTTTAAATAGGTCAAGGGGCGCACTTTGGAAGATTGACCCAATTATCGGGATTACATTGATATAATTGCTGGGTATTTTAAATAAAATCTAGTTGCGGATTTATTTAAAGCAGACTGTCCATAGTTAGTATCATTGTCATCATTACGCTTTATTATTATTATTATAAATTGTACATTTATAGGTCCATTTACGCTTCTCATATGTCATTTCATCTGATTTTGCCAAATCCGCACTTAGATGTCTTCGGGCTACAAACATAACATAAGAAAAATTACAATATCAACACAAATTAAAGAACACATGACTCACAGCTGGTTGTCGAGCGGATTGATTCCCGGTTCCCATTTGTCCCGGGAATGGTGGGGGAGGCCCGGGAAGCTGCGCTTTTGGTGTATTATTGTCTGGGAGGAGGCCGGGTATCCATGCAGAGTTTGCTCCTCTATCCATGGGCATAGAGCTTCCGATGTGATTGAAATCTGTTCTTATGTGTGAGCCTCCCCCCTTAGAAATACATTACATACGTCAGTAAGCATGTCAGTTTAAGAGCATTTATGAAACTTAAAAAAAGTGAATAGATACGGAGAGCTGTTTTTGACTAACTTCAAGGCTCAAGATATAATTAAAGTACTTAAGGGTTGGTGGAAGAAAGTCTTCGGGGTTTATTCCAATCAAAATGATTTTCCTGGATGGAGTAAAAATAGATTTGCTCAAACTAAAATACTGTTCACTCTATGCCGTGGCCATTTATAATCTCCCAACCTCATCTTAGACTGAATACTCCCATCACCGTCTCATTGGCATGCGACTATTTTACATTGTAATCATCTTGTTAATGAAGCTTTCTATTCTATAAGCCACAATTTCCTAGTCTCCATTGTATAAAAGATGTCTTGTTGGTTCTATTTCAGATTGCTTTTATTTACATCTCACATTGCTCAGAGCCTCAGATTTATTTGCTATTTTCCTTATTGTGTTGACTTGATTACTTCTATTATGTTTTTCCTTCAGAAACTTTCTTACAACAACAGCATCCAAGTCTTATTCCCAAAAGATTTTGGGGTCGACTAAGTGCTAACATGAGTCGTTCCATGATATCAAAGGCAAAAAGAGAAGAAAGATAAGAAAATTAAAAGATAAAGTAAAATAAATGGATAAGATAAAGATAAATATAAGATAAAATAACATAAGAAAGATAAGAGATAAAAGAACATAAGAAAGATAAAAAATAGAAATAACATAAGAACATAAAAAGATATACTCCCTCCGTATCTTTAAAATGTTCACATTTGAAAAGTAGGTAGATTAAGAATAGTGAAAGAGAATATGAATTATTGAGGGTATGATAGGAAGATAGTTGAATAAGGTGATGGAATGTAGGATAAATCCAAAAAAAGTAGTTGTAATAGTGTATTATTTTCAGAATTATTGAAGGTATGATGGGAAGATTTAGAAATGGGAAGATTTTTTTGTTACGGACGAAAAAGGAAAGTGGGAAGATTTTAAAGTTACGGAGGGAGTAGAAGATAAAAGAAAAGGACAAAGAAAAAGAAAAGAGATCAATCGTCCACACGAATATGTGGCCTCCGTTTTGCTCTCTCCAAAGTCATACTCTCATCCAACCCGAGAAGAAGCATATCACTTCTAATTCCTCTAATCCAAGTCTTTTTGGGTCTTTCTCTCCTCCCCGCCTCTTGTCTTCACCGCTCAACTCGTCTAACAGGCGCATCACTCGGTCTTCTACACACATGACCGAACCACCACAATCGAGACTCATGCATCTTATCTTCTAATTTGTCTATAGGTGCTACTCCAACATTTTGTTTGATTATCTCATTCCTCAAGCAGTCTTCTTTTATATGTGAAAATTTTGACAATTTCAGATTTTCTGAAAAAGTCCATTATTGTTATCTAATTTACAAGCATGCAAAGATCACAGAAAAAGTTCAAGTTTGTCTCATTTTGAATAAAAGGTTCTTTTTGCTATCATGCCTTTTGTGTTGGGTTGTATGATTATGTGAAATTGATGGAAACTTAGACATATATACCTATATGGCTTATTGGCTTTGATAGGAATTCTTGAAATTCTAGTATTCTACATTAATAGGTAAGGAAGTTTCTTGCTACTGTTTGAATATGAATGCTCAGTGGGACTATGTTCAAAACAAGCTGCATTTTTCTTTGTCCCCTTTTCTTTTGGTTTCGACTGTGAAGCACATGGATACTGCTGGATTTTGTAAACTCAAACGTCGCTACTCCCTCCGTCCCGTTGGAAGGTTCCCTTGGATAAATGGCACGATGTTGGGCAAGTGGTTAAATAAAGTAATTTGGTTAAAAGAGATAGGAAAGAGAAAATTTAGAAAAAGTAAACATATAAAGTGAAAGTAATTGAAGGGAGATAAGTTGGGGGATGGAAATTGTGAGACTTGACATGTTGATTAGGAAAGAGAAATTTGAGTAAATTATTTCCTAAAATGGAATGAGAACCTTTAAGGGTCTGTTTGCAATCCATTAAAAAAAATTCTTTTAACTTTTTTTTAAGAAAAAACACTTATTTTACCAAACATTACCAACTTTTACTTTCTCGGCTTCCGTGTAGAATCTACTTTTTACTTTTTCTATTACACAAAAAGCACTTATTTTACCAAACACTGTCAACTTTTACTACTAATCACTTTTTCCCCAAAAGTTCTTTTATTTAAGCACAAGTGGTTGCAAACAAAGCCTAAGTAAACCGGGACAACAATGGAATTATTTCCTAAATGGGACACCCAAATAAGTAAACTGGGAACCTTCCAACAGGACGGAGGAAGTACTTTGTTTTTTGGTTGGTTGAATGCATATGAACCCCGAGGACAACAATTGTAATGTTTGGAGTAACAATTACATACGTAGTATTATACTCCGTAGTAGGTTAACTCTTTGTTCTATAAGCAAATGGATGTTTTTGTTGATTGTAAAATGTTGTCAGGTTTTTTTGTAATATGATCTAGATCAACATGGCTATAATTACTCGAGCCAAATAAACATTATAAAACAATGGAATATTTGGTCTTTGTAGTCTCGTTCCTATCAACCAAACAATGGAATTTTAATCCCTCTTTATTCCTTCTAAAACCTAGTCCCAAGGAATAAATATTGAATTCCGTGTACACTCCCTCTTGGTAATCGAATGACCCAACAAGTGGTCTATCGTGTGTGACTCTCTTCATTATTCCATTTTCTAATCATTTAATTAGAAAATATTTTCCATTTTTCTAATTATTGTTCCACTTATCAGCATTTTTCATATAATCTAATCATTGAACAGTTTCATGAAGTATACTGTATAAATAATATATGTACATTTACAGGACATGAAAAATCAAACTCCAGCCACAAGTCCTGAAGCTGCCAAATCAGCAACAACAGACCCGGCTTGAAAACAAAATTACTTGGCTCATGAAAATGATGCAAATTCATGATTTTATTTTGGTGAATCATGACTTTATTTTTTAGAAACAAGACTTTTTAATGTAGTTGGTTCAATATGATGTTATATACATCATGTTCGATACTTGCATAATAGTATATGTGATATTTTCTAAGTAATGCGCCATACATGAGTCAAGCGAGCGCTTTTTTGCGCCTTGCACCTCAGGCGATGGGAGTACTCCATTGCCTTGAGTGCACCTCACGACTTTGACTACCTTGTTGGCAGCAGTCCAGTAGTAGCGCACAACTCTGGCGGCTGCGGAAAATTTCCGGCGGTCGGGGGCAGTTTGACAGTCTGGTTGCAGCACTGCTACAACCCCTACAAAGGTATTTTTGTCCAATCACAAATATAAGTCCTATTTATGGAACTTTAAACATTAGATCCTACTTTTGATATATATACATGGTCCTATTTGTGGAAGTCTCCCTTTTTACCTGATTACTGCTGACATGCATTTATTATGCTTGAAGTGTCAATCCATTGAGATGAATTATCAAAAGCGGAAAAAGAAGTGTGTCAAGCTAGTGGTGGGTATTTTGGTTCACTACGATCTAACTGGCAGATCCCTATCGAATTAGATTTTAGTTTGGTAATGTTTTTTACTTGATCTCAATCGGTATTAAAACGAACAAACAAAGCAGGTTAAACCAAACCAATACAATCCTAATAAAAAATATCATAAAAATGTACCAAAACTGAGCAAAACTAAGTTTGGATTTAATTACAAAACATCTAAGGGCTTTGTAGAGATATTAGAATATTTAGTTGATTATTATGAGATTTGTTCTGATCATAATCTGATTTCCTAGAATCAAGTAGGAGAATTGTATTAATTAGAAGATCTTGTACATAATTACTCTTTCGGTCTTTCCTTTATTAAGTTAGCCTAGGCCTATGAATTGTATTTAGCTTCTGTATTTGCAATCAATCAATATACTTACTCTATTCTTCAAGTTGGTATCAGAGCCAGGTTTGTTGAGGCCAGGGGTTCCATCCTAAAAGATCAACCTGATAGGAAGAGAAGCCCAAAAGTAGAGATGACTCAATATACCTATCTCACACAAGGCCTGACATAGCATATCCTGTTAGTGTGGTTAGTCAGTTCATGCATGATCCACGCGAAAGACACGCGAAAGACACTTGCTGACAGTGAATAGAATCTTGCAGTATTTTGAAGGCAAGTCCTGGGAGAGGATTGGTATTCAAAAAGGAGGAACATTTGTCTATGGAGATTTATACAGATGCAGACTATGCAGGGTCAATTGTTGACCGGAGGTCTACTACTGGATATTGCATGTTCTTGGGTGAAAATTTAGTGACATGGAGGAGCAAGAAGCAGAATTCAGAGCCTTGGCTCAAGGGGTTTGTGAATTATTATGGATGAAGATCATATTAGGAGATTTGAAAATACCATTTAAAGCTCCTATGAGACTCTTATGTGATAATAAATCTGCTATTAGTATAGCTCATGATCCAATCCAGCATGATAGAACAAAACACATAGAAATAGACCGACACTTCATCAAGGAAAAACTGGATAGTGGTCTTATTTCTACGCAGTATGTTCCTTCAAGGCTTCAGTTGGCTGATGTGCTCACCAAAGGGCTTCCAGTAGAGCGGTTTCGAGAACTTACTTGCAAGATGGGAATGATAGACATCCATTCACCATCTTGAGGGGGAGTGTAGAGATATTAGAATATTTAGTTGATTATTATGAGATTTGTTCTGATCATAATCTGATTTCCTAGAATCAAGTAGGAGATTTGTATTAATTAGAAGATCTTGTACATAATTGCTATTTCCTTTATTAAGTTAGCCTAGGCCTATAAATTGTATTTAGCTTCTGTATTTGCAATCAATCAATAAACTCTTCTTCAAGAGAGTTCAGAATCTTGGAAAAGAAAACAGAAACCCAAAAAACCCAAGCCCTGATGTCCACCCCTAGTGAAATTCCCAACTAACATGCTGCTGTTCGTAATGTTTGTACCACATTAAGCATTCCACAAAAGTAGGGCATAGTCTGAGCCTTTGAGGGTAAGGAAGTGGTGCACAATTTCACAACTTCAAGAGAAATGGTTTACATGGCTTAAACTAGGGGTGGGCATAAAACCCAAACCAAACCGGCCCGTAATGGTACCGAACCGAATATTGGGTATTTAAACGGTACTATAGATTTTTATCCTGAACCAAAATCGTACCGTTTGAAACAGGTACGGGACCGGTTCTAGATTTTGAGAACCAAAAAATACCGGACCGGACCGTTAAAAAATAATGCATATGGAAATTTTATATTTTTTCCATATTAATAAATCTCTTTGATATACCAACAATTTTATAGCTCAAGTATGTATTCAAGAATCCTAAAATAGCTAAATGTGTGTGTGTATCCTTAGAGTTTGGTTATATTTTGGATAATATATTTTGGTATGTATTTAAAGAATGTTATAGTTTTAAAAATCATTAATTACTTTTGATTTCTAATGATGTAGTGTATATGACTTTTTGTTGTATCATGTTTGTGCAATTTTACAACTTAATTAATATGGTTTAAATCTTAGCTCTCAAGGTTCAACTATAAAAATAAATTAGAACTAATATATAACCTAGAACAAAGAAGAACATTGAATTTTTCTATTATATTCAACAATTTGATGATATTCTTTTTATATTTTCACATGAACTTAGTAAATTGAAGATGATATTTATCTCGTATATCATCTTTTTGCTATACTTTTTCTTATTTGTGTTGCGCTATTTGTGTATTTGCGATTTTTAGTACTGCATATGCAATTTCTTGTATTTATATCAATATTTCATGTGAGTTGGTTGATGTGATGCTATCAAGTAATTGCAAGATTTGTCCGAAATTTGTAGCATGTATTTGGCATTGTATCGTACCGTTTTATACCGTTCCGGAACGACATGGTATCAAATGGTTCCATCCTTAGAACCGGACCGTTAGAAACCTCACGGATACATCATGGGGTTTAATAGTTTACCGGACCGTTCCGGACCGCGCCCACCCCTAGCTTAAACAGACGTGCATTTGTTCTATATACTCTACATTATAAGCCCAAACTCCAGAGTGCTCTCCAATCTCCAATTACATTAGGAATAACGTTCAGAAATCATCTAAATAGAGATAGTGAGCAATAGAGATGAAATTTAGTAATAACTTACACTTCTTAACATTTGAGTCATTCATGAGTCATGACTAATGAACAAAAAAAGCCCTAAATGGCTAAATTTGATAGGAAATTATATTAAAGTCCAAGATGGAAGAACAATCAAAGTAGAGCAGAAAAATTTAATAGGCTATGGTGGCTTGTGAAGAGATAATTTAACTCAAAACATAAACATTTAAACTTTTGATGACGCACCTGATAGAGTGTCGGGGGAGGTGGTTGTCCTGGCATAATAAATGAAGAGCCCATTGGACCTGGAGGTTTACCTCCCTAAATGTTAAAAAAAATGAGTCAAAAACATTGGAATTTTGATATATATATATATATATATATATATATAGAGAGAGAGAGAAGCTCATGTCCGGAAATCCGGACCGGAACCTCCGGACGGACGGCGGCGTTTGGGCCCCTTCCCGGTGGAATTGTTTGATGAAATTTTTTGGGCATATTCTTTTTTTTATACAACACGAGGACTTCCCAGGGGGTCACCCATCCTAGTACTACTCTCGCCCAAGCACGCTTAACTGTGGAGTTCTGATGGGATCCGGTGCATTAGTGCTGGTATGATCACATCCTTTGGGCATATTCTTCATCAAGTCTAGTTTATCCACAAAAAAATTAAACTAAAAATTAAATCGGGAAGACAGTCAAATGATTTTTGGAAGATAACTGCGCCAAATATTTAAAACGCAGTTATCTTCCAAAAAATTATTTGACTGCCTTCCCGATTAAATTTTAGCTGGAATTTTTTGTGGATAAACTAGAATTCATGAAGAACATGCCAAAAAAAACATCAAAAAATTCCACCGGGAAGGGGCCAAACGCCACCGTCTGAACGGCGGTTCCAGTCAGGTCTTGGAAGATTACTATATTATATATATATATATATATATATATATATATATATATATATATAGGGAGCGGTTCCAATGAGAACCACACTGATAAGAACAGAAAAATAAAATCAACGGGGTAACCCGTTGCCCAAAATAATCAACGGCTGGATCCGTTGCCCAGAGCTAAATAGCTAAAACCAATATTATTAATGCTTGATTTGAATAAGCCTAGGCAGGGGTTTATATAACCCTTACATCCAAAACTGAATAGGAAACTAAATCCTAGTAAGAAACATAATAGGAGTCCTAATTAAACCATTCAAGGAAACTAAATAGAAATAGGAAACCTCTAATTAATAGAAGTCCTAATTAAATCATACTAGGAAACAAAATAAATTAGGAAACAAAATAAAAGGAATAATTAAAATTAATTAAATTGCTCGCAGCCAGCCCACGAAGGTGGGCTCAAGCCCGTCCCGCCCCATGCTCTTCCCGCTTCATATCAATCCATCCTCCTTCAAATTAACCTTGTCCTCAAGGTTGAAAACTCGTGGATCGGGAATTGAAATTTCCAGACATAGTATAGACTGGAAAATATCCTTCTTCTCTTTCCGGGACCTTTTCCTGGCCGGTTATTTCACAGAATTCATGCTGCTTGAGGTCCAACTCTTCATCCTCCTCAGCTATCATTACCCGCAGCTGCTTAAAGGGACAGTCATGTGTTGGTGTAAATGGTTTCTTGCACCTAAAGCATAATCCTTTCGCCCGCAGTTCTGCAAACTCTTCCGGCGGAAGTCGAGTGAACTGAGAGCGTGTCGTAGGCTGCCCAGACAACCCTGACTTCGTCCCCGGAGGCTGTCCACTATCTTTCGCAAAGCTGCCCTCCGAACCCTGTAAGCTGCCACCAATGGCAGTCAACGGGGAACCTGTGTTTGCCCTTAAAAGGCTGCTAGAACGTACCCCTGATGAATGATAATTCAGGCTGCCACTTTCTCCACTTTGGACGGACAGATTATACTCCACTTCGCGAGCTAATTCCATAGCCATCTCCAGGTTGTTTGGTCGGAGCAATCGCAGCGAGCTTCGGATTATCTCCTTAAGACCACTCATGTAATATCCCAAATAGTGCTCATCGGGTAACCCTAGAACTTGGCTTGCTAGCTGAACAAACAAGATATTGTAATCTTCTATAGACCCAATTTGCCTGACTCCGGACAATCGTTCATACTTATTCCCCTGAAATCGAGAATCAAATCTGTCCACCAAGGCTTACTTGAAATCTGCCCAAGTCATCCCAGGCCTGCGCGATCTCAGCCAGGTCACCTAGTAAAGCGCTCCTCCTTCCATAGCTACCATCGCGGCAGCCACTTTCTTTTCCGGTAAAGTGTTGTGTAATTCGAACTGTTGCTCTACCCGAGCGATCCACCCAATTGGGTCTCCCCCATCGAACGACGGAAGCAACGTTATAGTTGGATTGCTCAGCACGCCTTCTCCATGCAGCTCGGTTGCCGGGATTCGACCCACGTCATCCGCAGCTTTCTTCGGTGTGACCGGCGGGACCATCGCCTGGGTCAACGCCGCTAGTGAGGCGATGATCTCCGACAGCTTGCCACCATGCTCTGCCTGTTCGGCCCTTATCCGGGTCACTTCTTCTCTCATACGAGTTTGTTCGTTCTCCAGCTCTGTCAATCGATCATTCTGAGATCTCGTCATCTTGGCGGGACGGGATCCGACAGGTCGGACCAATTGATAAGAATAGAAAAATAAAATCAACGGGGTAACCCGTTGCCCAAAATAATCAACGGCTGGATCTGTTGCCCAGAGCTAAATAGCTAAAACCAATATTATTAATGCTTGATTTGAATAAGCCTAGGCAGGGGTTTATATAACCCTTACATCCAAAACTGAATAGGAAACTAAATCCTAGTAAGAAACATAATAGGAGTCCTAATTAAACCATTCAAGGAAACTAAATAGAAATAGGAAACCTCTAATTAATAGAAGTCCTAATTAAATCATACTAGGAAACAAAATAAATTAGGAAACAAAATAAAAGGAATAATTAAAATTAATTAAATTGCTCGCAGCCAGCCCACGAAGGTGGGCTCAAGCCCGTCCCGCCCCATGCTCTTCCCGCTTCATATCACACACTTAATGTGAGAACGTGAGAACCATGCACTGTTAACACAATTTGGTTCACTATGAGGCTTACCTATTACACTTTTTAAACATTGGTCCAAACATGCCAAGATCAAATAAATGTGATGGCCGATTTATAAATATTTCGTCAAAATGAAAATGTGCAATGTATACACGCTATAGTGCATCACATTTGTTTAAAAGTGGAGTTCTTACGTTCTCACGTTAAGCATGGTTCTCATTTGATACTATATATATATATAGGGAACCAATCCTCACTAAACCGGGAGAGGGAGCTTACTTGCAACTTACATGAAACATGGGTTGTGAATGGTGAATCTGAGGTGGTGGCCCAGCCTGCTGAAACCCTGCATTGGGCCCAATCTGGGGATGTATTTGCTGAGAAAAGGACTGCACTGGAGGTCTCACCTGTGGTGGCGGTAGTGGCGGCTGCAATGTCGGCAGATGCTGCTGCATGCCACCGCTCTGTATCGATTGGTCCAACTGAGTAGGAACAGAGGACATGTGTGGTTGAAGATGAGGAAGTGGTGGCATGTTTGGATGAGGTGGCAATGAAACTGACGCTGACAGGGCACTAACGTGTGATTTAGGCTGTTGTGCAGGATGTAATGGATGAGGTGGCAAGGATGGTGGCTGAAGGTTTGATGGGGGAGCAGTCACAGGTGTCACTAATAATGGAGGTTGCATTTGGTGCGGTTTTCTCATTTGGTCCTGCAAATTCATTTGTCCTGATGATACTGCTGGAACAGAATGAGTATTTGACTGCTGAACGTGAGATGGCAATGTCTGAGTACTTTGTATTGTGGGAGAGGGTGTGCCCATCTAACATGGAAGTAAGAGAAATCGGAAGATGCAAAGATTATGTATATATATACCGACACATCTCACGTGATACAGACAAACACACATATGTATGTATACACATACACACGCCCACACATATACATAGAGAGGAAAATGTTGTTACACGTAATATTTACCTCTGCATGCATATTAGCCCCTAAGGGGTTTTAGGTGCAAATATACCCTTAAGAGCGCATATTGGCCTTGAATGCTACAAAAAATTAAAATCTAAATGTAATTAATTCAATTTAAACAAGGAATTTAAAAATAACAAAAAAATAATGTAATATATCTGTATTAAGTGTGAAAAAACTATTTCAAAACAAAACTATAACCCACTAATTTTATATTTGCAACACATATATCCTAAATTCACCAACAAGCTCAACTGGTTGGAAGTTGGAACAAAGGTTCTTTTTAGGCCAAATGCTCCTTTTTATCGTTTTTGTTTAAAACTAATATTTTTTTCAATATCAACCAAATAATTTAAAGTTCAACAAAAATCTAAAAATAACACCCCGCATAACGTCAAATAATACATCATTATAAAAACAGTTAATCTAATCTAATAAGTGTAAACAAGAACAAACTTTTTCATATAAAAAATTTAACACATGCTTTTATTTTTTGCATCGCAAAAAAAATGCTTAAATCTATGTTAATGTTTTAAAATATTTCTTTCATATGGAAAGAAATAAAAAATTTGTTATATAAATAATATATAAAACATTTAGCACAAATTTAAGATATCTGTGTTGCAATTATATAACATACATGGGTTACACTAAAAACTATTTCTCATTTTTTATTTTCCCATTTTTCACAATCAATATACTCCGTATCAATTAACTATATTTGGGAATCTTTTAAAAAACTTTTCTTTTGCAGTTAAGACCAATAAGAGCCAATTTGCTCCCTGAAACGTTATGAGTATTTTGCACCTTAAAAATGATAGGGGCCAATCTGTGCCTGAAGATAGATATTAAGGGAGTAATTGCACCGCTTTGCTACACATGCATTACATTACAAAATTAGGTAATTAATAGCAGTTTTGAGGGATAGATAAAAAGCATACCGTCTGTGTTGGCTGAACCATCCCGAGCAATATTTGTGCCTTATTAACAAAAAAAAACAAACAATTTTGACAACATTGGTGAATTATCCATGAAGGATCATATTTCAGCACATATTAGATTATCAAACACATCGAAAATCATAAACTGTAGTAAAGATTTGTTACATTAAGCATGTGATTCATAACGAAAGAAAACTTTCAATCTCTTATCAGCTTTGCTAAAAGAGATTATTGAAATAGCTCTTTTATTGATATGTGTGTGTGTATGATTAATAACACATCTGTTTATATGTGGAGAATTTAAGCATTTTAAAGAAAGGTTATCTTATTTCTATACTTACTAGTTACTACTAACTCTCTTATAGACCTCGAAAGAAGTAATGTTATTTTGTTTTCTCGGTTAAAATTTTACCAAATTTATTCCCTCGACTTCTTTCAAATAACCGAACTCAATCCAAAGTCCAAACATCACGATTGCCTTCATTTTATTGACCCTTCTACACATAAAGGACTACGGGCTCTTCTGACATTATGAATCATTTCATTGATTTGAACAGATTTGTGAGAAAGATTTGTGAAATTGAGAGTCAAGCATTGAATATGATTATGTCACCAAAACTGGTTTTGCCATTGCTGAATTATGGAATTTTAATCCATTTATACATCATCACAAACAAATATGATGCATTCAACAATAAGAACATCTCCAAAGACCACTAGCGAGTACAAAGTTCTAAGAGTCTTCTATTGTGTTTGCACTCCCAGCCCAATCATGCAAAGGCAGAGAAATGACTTCAATTGATATGTGTAAGATCATGTAAATTGTTAAGGCAGAGGAATGACTTCAGTTGATATGTGGTAGCCACATATTCACACCCACTAAATGTAGACATGTTTTCTTTATTTTGTCCAACAGAACCAAAGGATATGAGATTTTTTAACAATCAAATTTGTCAGTTTCATTTGACAATAATTCTCATTATTTAAATGGGAAATTGGAATGGCCGAGCACCTTAATTAGAAACCAGTAGCATTACAACCCAAATGCCAATGCATATGCCTTTGTATACACTAATGGCATTCCAAATCAGCTATGGTTATTTCCATACACTAACTTCATGCTTTGTTTGAAAGTCATCATATTACTTCCTACTTTTTGATAGATGTCAACGACAAAGAATTGTCAATAAAAAGATTCCCGGTATGTCTGAATCATGATTAATTAAGAGATGAGTAGAAATCAAATAAAGTAATGAAGTGTGTGTGCAACACAGTGCAAATTGGTGTCCCTGCAAGGCGAGGGTCCGAGGATGGTCCCATCACAAGGGTTAAGACTTGAGAGTATAAGGAATCACAAGGGTATAAGGAACAAGCCTTCTCTCAATTTGACAAGAGGCTGCTCCCAAGACTTGTGACCTCTCAGTAACACAACAACACCCTAATAGGCTGCTCCCATGATTTTTGAAACAGAAGCTAATACATATTCATGAGGCATAGTCGTTAGGGACTTAAGGATCACTAAAACGTTGTAAGAGTGATTATTGGTAAATAACATGGACATTCATAGCAACAGAAATCTCATTTGCCTAGCTCTTTAGCTTATTATCCACAAACTAATTTCTTCCTTTCCCTTTATGCAGCTTTCCCATCTTGAAAATTACACCTCCTAATCTACGCAGCACATAGTCTAAATTCGAAACAGCCTTTGTATATATACTGAGAATTTAATATGAAAATACCTGAAAGAGATCTCTGGCCAACGTAGGGTTTTGAACCAGAATTTGCTTTGCTTGTTTCTCGTTCTGTTCCATAAGTTTCTGCAGCGCAAAAAATTGAAAAAGAAGATTAAAACTTTGGATTCCAAATCCGTGTGCCCTACTTGAAAAAAGTGAAGTGTATGCGTCCGAGATTAGAGAAGGAATACAGTACCTTCATCTGAGACATGATGTCGTAGAGCTGATTCTTCGACATCCCAGCGATGTTCCCACCTTCGCTGCCGACCTCTTTTCCCGCCATCGTTTTCCGCAACTCTGCCTCGCGTAAAATTGAAGTAGGAGTGGCTTGAAGAGCAGGAGTGGCTTGTTTATTCTTAATTCTTATTTTCAGAAAAAAAAAAAAGGATGATCACAATCTGCTTTTTATATGTATATAATATAAAGGGTGCAGTTATCTTCCAAAAATCATTTGACTGTCTTCCCGATTGAATTTTTTGCTGAAATTTGGTATGGATATATTAGACTTTATGAAGAACATGCTCAAAAAATTTCATCGAAAAATTCCACCGGAAAGACCCTCAAAACGGGGAGGCCGCACGGCGGCTCCGGTAAGGTATACCTTACCGGAAGAGTTCCCTATATATATATATATAGAGAGAGAGAGAGAGGAGGGTTCTAGTGAGAACTAACCTTAAAATGAGAAGTTGTTATAGTGAGAACTTTTAGGGTCTGTTTGCAATAGCTTCTGCTTTTAAAAAAGTGTTTTTTTAATGAAATGGGGAGAAGTGATTAAATAAAAGTTGATAGTGTTTGAGAAAAAAGTGATTTTGAAAAGTAAAAGTGGGTAGTGTTTGGTAAAATAAGTGCTTTTTGTGTAATAGAAAAAGTAAAAGCACTTTTGACACGGAAGCCGAGAAAAATAAAAGTTATAGTGTTTGGGAAAATAAGTGTTTTTTTAAAGTCAAAAGTTGAGAAGTGCTTTTTTAAAAGGTGTTGCAAACCAACCCTTAATCACAACCATTTATTGAATCCAATCATTGGTAGGATGCACATGGGGCACTTTGTGTAATTATTGAAAATTCAAATGGGGTAAAAAATGCTTGAATAGTTGAAACCAATTATTCTAATTATTTGAATAAAAAATGCTTCTTAAGTGAAAAATAAGAACTCATTTGTGAAAAAATTGATAGACGAGATCAGATTATAAGTTAGATGTGCGATAAGCCTGCACAAAAACAGGCTCGGGCCAGGCTTAGTCGGGCTTTTTATGAATTTCCGTCCATTGGTACGGTGTGAGTGGGCCTAGCCCAGCACGTAAAAAACAAAGCTAACATCATGTCCATACTCATCTGTAAGAGCGGGCCAGGTAGTCCACCCGGCCACCCGGCCCGAGAAATCATTAAATTTTTTAAAATTATATAAACATATTTTAATACTTTTAAAAAATGTTAATACACTTATAATGTTTATAAGATTCTCATCACATACATAAAAAATACATATACAAAAATAATCATGAAAAACTATAGTTTAACTTAAAATTCAAGCATAAAGGATTATCTTTAAGTTTAAAAATAGATATTATATTTGTTGGGCTAGTTGTTAAGAACTAAAAACTTAAATTTAAAATAATAACTACAAACAAAACTTAATTTTAAACATAATAAACTATGAATAAACTATATATATATATATATATATATATATATATATATATATATATATATATATATATATAAAGATAAATTTATACTCCCTCTGTCCCGTTGGGATGTTCCCGTTCGGTTTACGATGCTTGACTGACGATAAAGCATCTCAATCTCTGTTTACACTCGGCTTATTTTTAATAAATAAAATTTACATATTCAGAAACTACATTAAAACCGCTACAAAGCCTTATCAAGAAAAGTTCAATTTAACAAAAAATTGATATATAAAGTAAAAGATTAGGAATGACCTAAGTTGACCAATGAATAGTGAATGAGAACATCCCAACGGGACGGAGGGAGTATAAAAATTGTGCAGTTTCTTTATATAAAAAAATGCAATTTTTTCAATAATTTATTTAATTGCCCTCCCTATTGAACTTTAAGTTGAAATTTGATGAATATAATCTATAGTTCATCGAGAATGTGCTCACAAAATTTCATCAAAAAATTCAATGCGAAAGCACGTCAAATGAAAGAAACTTAAAAATTGTATCTTCTAGGCCTACCTGACATGATCATTGTCGTGTGTGTGTGTGTGTGTGTGTGTGTGTGTGTGTGTGTGTAGGGTAAGGTTCAAGTGAGAAGAACCCTTTGGGTGAGAAATGAGAATGAATCTCAGCCATTGGATTCGACTAAGTTGCAGTAAAAGACACTTCATGATGAACTGAAATATGCAATCTAGCACGGTGGCATTTCTGTAAATACTTCTGAAAAATCCGTATTACACGTGTCTAGTGCAACATGAAGCTATTTCGGTGCAACGCCGTCAAATATTAGTGCAACATCAAACTGTTTTAGTGCAACATGTGCAAAATTTAAATATTACTGCAACATAAAGCCAATTTTAGTGCAACTTCGTAAATCCAATGGCTGAGATTCATTCTCATTTCTCACATTAGATGCATTTCTCACCTGAACCAATATATATATATATATATATATTTAGGTTCATGTGAGAACTTAATCTTAGGAGAGTAAAAAAGAATAGATGTGAGCCATTGGATCTTGAAACTCTTTAATATTTCATTAAGGGTGTATAAGAGAATTTGGCACCACATTAAAAACTACACGGTTGATTACTTCCCTACAATCTTGCAAATATTTCCTTAACTATCTCCCTATAATCTTGCATAGCCAATCATGAATCATCCAATTTCTTTTAATTTGCTTTACGGTTCTCATTTTTTTTTATCAAATTAGTTTTATTCAATCAAAATAAATTCTTTTATCTCATTTAATTCTTTCTTACCTTCATATGATCAAAAAAATTCTTTCTTTCCTTCATTATTCTCAAGATGTGTGTTACGGAGAAGACATTCCTTTTCATATTTTGTTAAAATGCTTGATCATTTCATCACCTTATGTTTAAATATTTAAACATAAGACATATTAATATGTCTTCTTTTTTATGTTTAAATGCATTTTCATATACTATTTATCCTCTAGATATTATTAAAAATTGCACTAACACAACTATATATATTGCACCTTTTAAGTATCATAACTGCACCACATGTCTATGTATATTTTTTTGAAAAGTGTGCGAGAATAGTGCAGTTTTATAAATATTTAAACGCACATGTTTAAAGTGCATTCATTTTGGGTAAAAGTGCCATGTAAAGATTTAAAAAGTGTGATATAGTAATGCACTTTTATATATACTTAAATGAACATGATAGTATATCATTGTAGTTTTTACACCCACGTTTATTTATTTTCATTTTTTATGATTTCTGTTGGGATAATATGCCAAGCCCAGTGCCATCGGCCCGTTATCCCCGAGATTTGGCCCAACTAGGCCCAAGACGCAGTCTCACGAGCGGGAATCGCCCCTTGCTCATTTACTTATTTATTGGGCCGGTTCGCCCATTAGCTTGGACATGTATTATGTATTTGGGCCAAGCCCACATAGATTAGACTTTTGGACTTGTGGTGGATGCCTATAAATAGGCCATCACCCCTCATGTATTCTCTATGTTTTTCTCACTATACTAAAATGCTGCTAGTTTCTCTACCCGGGTTATTTTCTACCAACATTGGTGCTTTCATTGAGAGCCAGTCTCTCATAATTTTTCGGTAGAAACTTGGATAGAGCACAGTGAGATTTCTCCGAAAATGATATGAAATTCATCACAATTTCGAAAAACCTCACCAAGAGTCAGTCTAAAAATACTCCATAATAAGATTTGGAATATCAAATTGGGGAAGTTCCATAGTCATCACCAACTTGGTTGCCGCCACGCACGGTTGGGGAGTGCAGATTGCTGCCCTGGAACTTGCAACCGACGCTGAAGGGTTGCATAATGTCGTGCATTGCAACTCGCAGCCGCTGATCCTTAACCAAATCCGCAGGGGCAAGGTAGCTTCATGGAGGAGGCAATAGGAGAAGACCAGACCCATGGACCAAGGCACCGACAACTCGTCTTCCACCTTCGTCGCATGCGTGCAACGCAGCGTCGCCACTCGATCCACGCCTCTTCCCAGCCGAGGTAGTCTATAGCAGCGGCACCCTCACGCCTCTGTTCCATAGCAGGTACCAGGGACGACAAGGACGGCCAGAGCAACCTAGCCAGCTCCGATCTATAGCCCAGCAAACCTAGGCGGCTCCTCTCTCCTGAACACCATTGGAAAAGATGATTGCCCATTGCTGGACTTCTTTTCTCTCTCCAAGCAACTTCAATTTGGACCTAGTCAAAATTGAATTGAGATGTCAATTTACTCCGACATATCAAACAATAAAAAATATAAATTGGAAAGTTCTATTAAATTTTCTAAATGTGCAGGATAGTTAATCTGCCAACTAGTCGGGATTGCGGAGCACCATTGCGAGGTCGTGCCCGCTCGGAGCTATCACCCCAGACGCATGTATGTTCGATGCCCATACACCATGCTCGTACGCTCAGAACATGATGGATCCCGAAGGGAGTATGTGTCCTGGCAAGTTGAGCAGCCAGGAAGTAGGCCCTCCTGGTAACACTCGTCCTGGGAAGGAGGACCTCCCGGGAACACTCATTCCGGGAAGGAGGGAACGATTCGTCTCATCACTCCCGTCGACCGGGTAGGCTAGCTTGATCCCCTAGGAGACGTATCAGCACGGACGTACTAGCATAGACGAATCCCAAAGGGAGCATGTGTCCCAACAAGTTGAGCTGAGCAGCCATGGTAGCCAGGAAGGAGGCCCTCCCGGCGACGATTGTCCCATGAAGCAGGGGACGGCTCATCTCATCACTCTCATCGACTGGGTAGGTGGACAGCCTTCCTGAATGGACACCATGCTGAATCCCGACCTCACGAACGCGAGGGGATTGCGGGGTCTTCTATGCATGTTGAGCAGCCAACAAGAAGGCCCTCCCGGTAACGCTCGTTCTGGGAAGGAGGGAACAATTCGTCTCGTCACTCCTGTCGACCGGGTAGACGGCTGGCTCCCCGGGAGGCGTACTAGCGAAGATGTTCTAGCATAGACGGATCTCGAAAGGAGTATGTGTCCCGCCAAGTTGGGCAGCCATGGTAGCCAGGAAGGACGACTTGTCATATCACTCTCGTCGACCAGGCATGCAGACAGCCTTCCCGGATGGACGCCATGCTAAATCTCGACCTCACACACGGAAGAGGGTTGCAGAGTCTTCTGCGCGAGTTCAGCTCCGCGCTGGACACGAACGAGTAGAACCGAACCCTGATGTTGTGGAACATCTGAGGC